ATTCTGGCATCTTTTCAACTTTTTAATATAGTATTTTTAACGGCTAAAATATTTAATCAAAGTTTAAATAGATGAATATTTTTTTTTAATTTAATAATAATAATACTTATTTCAGCTATTTGGTGACGTGATGTAGTGCGAGAACCAACATTTGAAAGGCGACATACTAAAGAAGTTTTAAAAGGGTTAAAAATTGGTATAATATTATTTATTACATCGGAAGTTTTTTTTTTTTTATCCTTTTTCTGAGCATTTTTTCATTCTTCATTATCACCAGATATTTTTATTGGACAAAAGTGACCCTGTAAAGGAATTAAAAGATTTAATCCTATATCCATTCCTCTTATAAACACTCTAATCTTATTAAGTTCAGGGGTTACATTAACAGTTTCACATCACTTTATAATATTAGGTCAAAAAAAAAAATCAACACAATTTTTAATCTTAACAGTTGTTTTGGGAATTTACTTTTCTGTCCTTCAATATGTAGAATATTTAGAGGCGTCATTTTCAATTGCTGATTCAGTTTATGGTTCCTGCTTTTTCATAGCTACCGGATTTCACGGGATTCACGTTTTAATCGGAACAGTGTTTTTGAGTATTTGTTTAATTCGAAATATTAAAAAACATTTTTCATCTTATCATCATTTCGGGTTTGAAGCAGCGGCATGATATTGACATTTTGTGGATGTTGTTTGACTATTTTTGTATATTTGTATTTACTGATTTGGAAAATAGGCCGAACTTAACATTTTTTTTTTTTTTTTTTTTAGATAAAAGGTATAAAGACTCATTTCCGTTTATATATATATTTTTTTTTTTTTTAATTTTTAACAATTAAAGAAGTGCTATCTAAAGTAAATTCATTTTGAAATAAAAAAAAAGATAAAGCCTTTAAAACAAAAAAAAATTTATTTTAAGCTGAAAATTATTTTTCTAAAAAAAAAAAAGTTTTTATAATTTAATAAAAATGTTAATTTTGTAAATTAATTTTGCTTTATAAGCTAAAAACTCAAAATTTGATCTTAGTATATAAGTACAAAAATTTTTGAAATTTTTAGGAAAAGTTTAAATCTTTTAGATCAAAGTTAACTAAAACCTAAATTTAAATAAACATATTTGAATTTATTTTAATACAAAGGGTGCCTGATTAAAGGGATATTTTGATAGAATATATAATGTAGAACAAACTCTGCTCCTTTGAAATAAAATTTAAAAAAATTTATTTAAACCCAATTATAAAAATTTTAAGTTCATCTTTAATTAAACTTCCATCTCCTAAGAATATTTCTTTGTTTTGAAATTTTGGATCAATTTTAGGAATTTGTTTAATAACGCAAATCTTATCGGGACTTTTCCTTGCAATACACTATGTTCCTAATACTGAAATAGCTTTTCAAAGGGTAGTTCATATTTGTCGAGATGTAAATATAGGATGATTTATACGGATTATTCATGCTAACGGAGCTTCATTCTTTTTTATTTCTATATTTATTCATATTGGGCGAGGAATTTACTATGAATCCTTCTACTTAATTCAAACGTGAAACTTAGGGGTAATAATCTTTTTATTAACTATAGCTTCAGCTTTCTTAGGATATGTTTTACCTTGAGGTCAAATATCTTTTTGAGGAGCAACAGTTATTACGAATTTGTTATCAGCCATTCCATATTTAGGAACCACTCTAGTTTACTGAATTTGAGGAGGATTTTCAGTTGATAACGCGACACTTAATCGATTCTTTGTTTTTCATTTTATTTGCCCATTCATTGTTCTTGCATTAGTAATTCTTCATTTATTTTTCCTTCATTTAAAAGGATCTAGAAATCCACTAGGAATTTCTAGTAAATCTTTCAAAATTCCATTTACACCTTACTTTTTAATTAAAGATATTATAGGATTTATATTTTTTTTTTGTGCGTTATTTTTTATTACTATATTTTTTCCTTATTATTTAGGTGATCCAGATAATTTTTCAATTGCTAATCCTATAGTTACACCTTTACATATTAAACCTGAATGATATTTTCTTTTTGCCTATGCAATTTTACGTTCAATTCCAAATAAATTAGGAGGAGTAATTGCTTTATTAATATCGATTTTAATCTTATTTTTTTTACCTTTATTAAAAAAAAATAAGATTAAACAAGGTAGACAGTTTAATTTAATTAAACAAAATCTATTTTGAATACTGATTAGGATTTTTTTTTTATTAACATGAATTGGAGCAGAACCCGTTGAGGATCCATTTATTATTACAGGACAAATCTTAACAATTTTATATTTTTCTGTGATAATCAAATTCCCGAGGCAGTAAACAATTTTTTTTTTTTTTTTTTTTAGATAAAAGGTATAAAGACTCATTTCCGTTTATATATATATTTTTTTTTTTTTTTAATTTTTAACAATTAAAGAAGTGCTATCTAAAGTAAATTTATTTTGAAATAAAAAAAAGATAAAGCCTTTAAAACAAAAAAAAAATTATTTTAAGCTGAAAATTATTTTTCTAAAAGGTCAGGAAAGGAAAATTCCAAAATTAATATCCAAAATTAACATTTTTATTAAATTATTTCCTGAGTAACAGAAACGATTCATAAATAAATTTACAGTTTATCATCTTATTTAGATTATATTACTACTCATAAAATTGTTTTACATTTATGAAATAAAAAAAATATTTTTTTTGAATTCAACAAAATTTTTTATATTAATCTTTTTAAGAATCTTTCTAGCACTATCATCATCTAACTTTGTTTCAATATGAATAAGATTCGAAATTAACTTTTATTCTTTTTTGCCTCTGTTAATTAATAAAAAAGTTTATGAATCTGAGAAATCAATAATGATATATTTTTGGATTCAAAGAATTGCTTCAAATTCTTTTATTTTTTTTATATTAATTAGAAAAATTTTGAAAAATGATGAGTTGATTAATTATTTATTAATAGTAATAATATTTTTAAAAATAGGTATATTTCCATTTCAACTATGAATATTGAGAATAGCTGAAAAATTATCTTGATTTATAATAGCATTTATTCTTACAATTCAGAAATTTTTACCAATAATTATAATTTCAATACTATTATCAAAGAATAAAATAATTATTATGATAATTTTAAATTCAATTGCAGCATCATTAATAGGATTGAAATCCTTTTCAATACGAAAAATTATAATTTTTTCCTCCATAAACCATCTTACAATTATGTTATTATCATTGTTAATTTCAAAGAAAACAACAACTATCTACATTTTAATTTATACTTTTATAAATTTTATTACATCTAAACTATTTTATAAATTAAACTATAATTTTATTTATAATATTTTTATTAGAGAAAAGTCGAACTTAACTTCTTCACTGTCTATAATTATAATTATCTTTAGGATAATAGGATTACCTCCATTTTTAGGATTTGTACCAAAAACAATAGTCTTCATTTTTCTAATTGAAAAGACCCAATTTATTTTAATAACTACTTTTTTAGTTTCGAATACAATTAGAAGGTTTTTTTATCTACGAATAATTTTTTCAAATTTAATTATATCTTATAATAATCAAAAGATGAAAAAAAGTATTAAAAATAAAACTATTTATTTAGTCCTTATTTTACCATTTATAAGAAATTTTTTAATAATTTAAGAAATTTTAAGTTAATAAACTATTAATTTTCAAAATTAAAATTAAGAAAAATCTTAAATTTCAAATTTTTAAACTAATATTAATGTTAAGAAGATTAATCTTGATTTTGATAATATTGGTGGCAGTAGCATTTATTACACTCTTGGAACGTAAAATTCTTGGATATATACAGATTCGATTGGGACCTAACAAAGCCAGAATTATAGGAATTTCTCAACCACTATCAGATGCTTTAAAACTTTATTCTAAGGAAATAGTTAAACCTTTTAATTCTAATTTTACATCATATTTTTTTTCACCGTCTGTTAGATTAATCTTATCTTTAATAATTTGATTTTCCCTACCTATTTTTAAACCTATTTTATTAATAAAAATAGGATTACTAATATTTTTTTCAATCTTAGGTTTAGGAGTTTATCCAATTTTAATAGCCGGATGATCATCAAATTCAAATTTTTCATTAATTGGTGGAATACGAGCACTAGCTCAAACAATCTCTTATGAAGTTTCATTAATTTTTATTATTTTAAGGAATATAATTTTAAATAATTCAATAAACTTTTTTAAACTAATAGAAGTTCAAAAAATATTTGTTTATATCTTTTTTATATTTAACTTTCTGTTATGAATAATTTCATGCACAGCGGAATTAAACCGAACACCATTTGACTTTGCTGAAGGAGAAAGTGAATTAGTTTCTGGATTTAATACAGAATATAGAAGGGGAACTTTTGCTATAATCTTTATAGCGGAATACATAATAATTTTGTTTTTTAGAAGATTTTCAACAATTATATTTTTTGGATTTTACATAAGTGAGCTAAAATATTTCATTACCGTAATATTATTTATTTTTTTTTTTGTTTGAATGCGAGCAACATTACCACGATATCGATATGATTTATTAATAAATTTTTCTTGGAAAATTGTTTTACCTAGTTCAACACTTAATTTATTCTTTTTTATTTTTTTAAATCTTACTTCTAAATCTAAAAGTAAGTTAAAAAAACTATTGGATTCATACTCCAATCTTGATCAAAATCCTTTTAGAACAAGAGTAGTAGTTTAAAAAAAACATTTATTTTGCATATAAAAATTATTAATTGTCTACTTTGCTCTTTTAGCTTAAAAAAAGTATAATACTGAAAATATTAAGATATTAATTATAATTTAGAGCATAATTTTAATTCTAGATAAAATTATAATAATTTTTGATATGCATGGAAATTATACCAGTATAAAATTTTTTTAAATAGAAATCTTTAAGCAAAAATAATTAAGAGATAAATATAGTGCCAGCAATCGCGGTCATACTATATCTTTAAATAATTTAACGGAAATGTAGTTATATGAAAGATTGGAGAACAAAAGATTAGAAAATAGGTCAAATTTTATCTAAATAAAAATTTCGCAAAATTTTAGAATCTATAAAAACTATTAAAAGAAAAGGATTTGATACCCTATTATTTTAGAAACAAAAATTATCCAGAGTTAATGTAAAATTTTTAAAACTCAAAGAATATGGCAGTATAAATAAAATTTAGGGGAACTTGATTTTTTAAACTATGATAATACACAAAAACTTTACTTTAGATTTTAAAAATATTTATATCTCCGTTTTAAGAAACTAATTGAAATTATTATTCAAAATCTTTTTGAAAAAGCAATTCAGGTCAAGACAAAGTATTTAAAGAAGGATTGAGTCCCATTAAAAAAATTGAATAAAAATGAGTTTAAAACAAATTTAAAAGAGAACTTAAAAGTAACTTTTTTAAAAAAGAAAAGGTGAACAAAAATATTTATATGTACAAATTGCCCGTCACTCTCAATTAAAATTGAGATAAGTCGAAACATAGTAAATGTATTGGAAAATGCATTTAGATAAAATTTTTCAAATTTTACCTATAAATCAAATAATTTTATCAACTTTGTTAATTTTTGTTTTTATAATAATTTTATCAACTACATTTTTTGAATTTTTATTTAGAAATAAAGATGTAAAAAATAATAAAAGAAAGAACATTATAAAAATGAGACTATTTTTATCATTTGATCCGAAATCAAGAATTAAATTTCCAATAGAAGAAATAAACTGAATAATTATATTATTTTCTCTTTTCTTTTTATTTCTATCTTTATATTGTTATCCCTCACGGTCTAAAATATTATTCATAATACTTCTAAAAGAAATAGGAATTCAGCTAAGAATTGCTTTAAAAAGTTATAAAGATAGTACAAAAGTTATGTTTACAAGAATCTTTTTATTTGTGTTTTTTTCTAATTTTATTGGACTAGTTCCTAATTCATTTACATCAACTAGGCACATTACAATAAACCTTTTTATCTCATTACCCCTATGAATAGGCTTTTTTATTTATGGGTGAAAGAAATATACTAATAAAATGTTTTCCCATTTGGTACCAAATGGGACTCCAATACCCTTAATTAGTTTTATAGTATTAATTGAATTAATTAGTACATCAATTCGACCGTTTACTCTTAGAATTCGTTTAATGGCTAATATAGTATCTGGCCACCTCTTACTTACTCTTATAGGTAATACAATAAGATTAAAAAGACCCTTTATAGTAATAATTTTATCAATGATTCAATTACTTTTATCATCACTTGAAATAGGAGTTTCTATAATTCAGGCTTATGTATTTTGTATTTTATTAACTCTTTACTCGGATGACTCAGATTACTCAAAATAATTTGTTAAAGCCAAATTAGAGGCTTACTACTGTTAATAGTAAAATTGAGATTAACTCTAACTGTTTATGTAATTTAATGAAAATATTATATTTTCAATATAATTTTAATGGAAACATTCATAAATTAGATAAATTTAATGAAATTTCTAATTTCTGATTAGTCTTACATAAGGCTTTTATCTTAATTCTTTGACAGAAAAATGTGTTAAGTTTAGAACTTAAAAATAGGAGATTTCCTAAGAATTAAATTTTACGTATTAAAAAACCCCGAAATTATCCGAACTTAACATTTTTTTTTTTTTTTTTTTTAGATAAAAGGTATAAAGACTCATTTCCGTTTATATATATATTTTTTTTTTTTTTTAATTTTTAACAATTAAAGAAGTGCTATCTAAAGTAAATTTATTTTGAAATAAAAAAAAGATAAAGCCTTTAAAACAAAAAAGTATAAAAAAAAATATAATAAACAAAAAAAAAAGAGAAAAGATAAAACAAATAATTAAAAAAATTTAAAAATTTATCAGAAAAAAAATAAAAATAATAATATAGAGTTATTCCAAAGTAATTTTCAATATATGTTACCAACACTTTTGAAAATTTATAAGAATTATTTAAAAAAAAATATTTTAATAAATCAGTTTTTAAGAAATATAAAAATCACATTTGTCTTAAATATATAATGAAATAATTATTTAATTCTAAATTTATATAAGAAATTTTTAAGGAACAACAAAATCTTAATAAACAAATTAGTGAAATTAAAATTTTTATCTTAAAAGGTAAGACAATATAATTGTAAGGAAAAAAAAAAATTGATGAACCAATAAATCCTAAAAAAACGGAGAAAAAAAATAGTAAATATATAGAATTTTGAATTCCTAACAGATTAGGAAAAAATTCCACAGAGTTAAAAAAAGATTTTTTAAAGGTTAAATAAATTATTAGGCGGAAAGAATATAGAACTGTTAAAAAAGTACCTACAATAAACAAAATTAAATAAATAAACCCAAAATTCAATTTCAATATAAATTCAAGAATTAAATCTTTTGAAAAAAATCCTGAAAGAAAAGGGAAACCAGATAATGATAAATTAGCAATATTAAATATACATAAAGAAAAACAAAAATTTTTATTTATTAAACCAAAAAACCGAATATCTTGATTATCATGATAATTATGAATAAAAAATCCAGCGCATATAAATAATAATGCCTTAAAACCAGCGTGTGTAATTAAATGAAAAAAAGCCAATTCATAAAAACCAATAGAAATTGTAGATATTATAAACCCTAACTGACTTAAAGTTGATAAGGCAATAATTTTTTTTAAATCAAATTCAAATATGCCAGAAAATCCTGACATGATTATAGTTAACAATGAAATAAATATTAATAAATATTTAATTTCTTGAATTAAATAATAATTAAAACGAATTATAATATAAACACCTGCAGTTACTAAAGTTGAGGAATGAACTAATGAAGAAACCGGAGTGGGAGCAGCCATAGCTGCGGGTAACCAAGCGGAGAAAGGAATTTGAGCACTTTTAGTTAAAGAAGCGATAAAAAATATATAACAAAAATATATATTATAATTAAAAAAAAAATTTATATAATTAAAACTTCCATAACAAAAAAATAAGGAAATTGAACACAGGATAAATACATCACCAACACGATTTGTTAAAGCAGTAATAAGACCAGAATAAAAAGATTTAAAATTTTGGTAATAGATTACTAAAAGATAGGAAACTAAACCTAGACCATCTCATCCTAACAATATACAGAAAAAATTTGGGCAAATAATTAAAAAAATTATTGATATAACAAAAAGGAATATAAGAAAGAAAAAACGAAGTTTATAAATTTCAGATTGTATGTAAAACTCTCTATAAAAGATAATTGAGCCTCTAATTAAAAGAACCATTCCTATAAAAATACAAGATATATAATCTAAGTAAAAAGGGAAACTAATATAAAAAGAACAAAAAACTATTTTTCAATGAATGAATAATCTAAAATTAAAACCAATAAAAAAAAAATGATAAAAACACGAAAAAAAAACCAAAAAAGAAAGAAAAAAGGAGATATCAAAATAAAAAAATTTATAATTTTGTGCAATTTAATGCTCTTTTGATTCCACAAATCAACGTTCTCAAAACTAACAAAATAAAAATGATCAAGTTTTAAAAATCAAAAAAATAAAGGAAAAAAATGGATGAAAACAATTATATTTTCAAAAATAGAAAGAGGATTAAAAAAATTAATTAAGGAACAAACTTTTCCATGATTGCAAAAAGTAAAAAGGAATAAATTATAAACACCTCTTAAAAAAGATAACAATATTAAAATAAATATAGAATTTATAAACCAAGAGATTCCAGAAATGAAAATATAAATTTCTCTAATTAAATTTAGAGAAGGAGGGAAAGCTATATTAAAAGAACAAAAAACAAACCATCATAAAGAAAACCTAGGAAAGATAGATAATAAACCCTTATTTAAAAAGATTCTACGGCTTCCAGATCGTTCATAAATACAATTAGCAAGAAAAAATATACAAGAAGAACATAAACCATGAGCAATTATTAATATTAAGGAACCTTTTAAACCAACTTCATTAAAAATTAGTATACCAATGATAACAATTCTTATATGAGAAACAGAAGAGAAAGCAATTAAACATTTTAAATCAGACTGACGAAGACAAATTAAACTAGCTACTAAACCGCCTCATAAACTGATGTAAATAAAAATTCTATTGAAATAGGGAAAAAATTTAAATAAATTAAACAAACGATAAATACCATAACCACCTATTTTTAGTAAAACACCTGCCAAAATTATAGAACCTGAAATAGGAGCTTCAACATGTGCCTTAGGAAGTCAGGAATGAAAAAAGAATATAGGTATTTTTACTAAAAATGAGATTATTATAAAAAAGTAGATGTAATTTAAATAATCCAAATAAATAAATCTTATTAAGGAACTATTTCTTATATTGCAAGTGAAAAAAATTGATACTAATATCGGTATTGAAGAAAAAAGAGTGTAAAAGAATAAATATAAACCAGATTGAACACGTTCAACATTATTACCTCAACCAATAATAATAAATAAAGTGGGAAATAGAGTGGATTCAAAAGAGAAAAAGAAAAAAAAGAGTCCTGATGAGAAAAAAAAAGTGGTTAAAAAAATTAGTAAAATGTAAAAAGACAAAAAGAAAAATGATGAAGAGGATGAAGATAAAACGTTTAAACTAGAAATCAACCTTAGAAAAACAATCCAAAATCTTAAAATAATAAGTAAAAAAGAAAAATTATCAAAACACAGAAAAAAATTTTTATATATTAAAAACTGTCTTAAATTTGAAAGAAAAAAAAAAGGAATAAAAAAAATTACAAAAAGTATAAGCAAATTTATACAGAAGAAAAAATATAATATAAAGAACAAAAAAAGTCTTAAAATAATTAGAATATTAAAAAATTTATAGAATTAAAGTTTACGGATCCATAAAACTTTACAATTCTGACCAAGATTGATAGACCGATAGCCCTTTCACAAACAATAAAAACGAAAAAATACATAATTATTCTTAAAGAAAAAAAGCAAAAGAAAATATAAACAAATATAAAAAAAATTAACAAAGATAAAGATTCTAAAATTAATAAGGAGTTTAGAAAAGAAAAGAAATTTATGAAATAAATTATAAAAATGAACCAAAAGAAAAAAAAAATTCAAACTAATCATATTTTTTTTTTGATATTAAAATTTCGTAGTTTATAAAAAACGCAAAATTGCAAATTTTGAAAAGAAAAATCCGAAATTTAGAATTTATTCATAATTATAATTATCATAATTGAGATTGGACTAAAAAAAATTATTTTTTTAACATTTTTGACTTCATTTTTTATAATAATTAATTCAAACCACCCTATAATAATAGGGATTTTAATTATTATTCAATCAGTTTTTATGGCCATTAATTTAAGATTAAGCTTTAATTTTAATTGATTTAGATATATATTATTTATAATTTATCTAGGAGGGATCCTAATACTTTTTTCATATATTATCAGGATTTCATTTTCTAAGCAGCCTCTAATAAAAAAAAATCCAATTTTTTTGAGGTTAATATTGTTAACAATTTTTTATACACAGAAGGAAAGATTTTTAGAGTTTAAAAAAATAAAAATCAGAAAGATATTAATTGTTTTATATGATAATAACAGTAAGTTAACATTATTTTTAATAGCTTTCTTATTTTACATTATAACAGGAGTTATTTTTATTACAGAGAATGAAAAAATAAGTTTAAAAAAGGGATAACTCAACAATTTTTTTTTCAAAGAGTTCTATTAAAAGATTAACAAAAAATATTATTTACACTAATAAAAAGTTTTTAAGTAAACATAATCTAAAAATATTATTAATAGTTTAAGTAAAATTTTAAAAAATTTAAATTTTTAGTATTTAAAAAGAAAGGAAAAAACTTTTTAGAAAAGATTAAAACTTATATTCCTTGTGTATCATGATTTTAAGAATTAAAAAATTATTTTTAAGTCTCGAAAAAAAAAGATCTATAAATTATTGGGCTTTATGTTTCATTATAATGAAAAAAAAAAATAGAAGTAAAAAACTTTCAATTTTTTTTATATCTAGTTATTTTAGAAATAAATTTAATTTAAATAAACAAAGATAAAATTGATAATGAAGAATTTAAGGGTTTAGCTTTAAGTTAAAAAATATTATTAAGGGGGAAGAAATAAGGAATTAAATTAACCTAAGATTTAAAAATTTTAATTTTAATTTAAAGATTTAATAATTTTTTTTTTATATAAAATAATTTTATAACTATTAGAAAAAGAATAAAATTTAAAAATTAGTAAATATTAAAAAAAAAATAAAAACTAGGCAAAAAGATTTTCGAATGTTTAACAAAAACATTGTCTCATGAATCTATTAGAGATAAAACCTGCTCAGTGAAAATTAAACAGCAATAAATAAGGTAGCATAATAACTTGTCTTTTAATTGAAGGCTAGAATGAAAGGTAAAACGAAAAATCAACTTTTTTTTTTTAAAAATTTAATTTGACATTTTAGTTAAAAGGCTAAAATAATTATGAAAGACGATAAGACCCTATAGAACTTAATTATAAATTTAAAAATTAAAAGGTAAAAATTTTACTGGGGAAGTAAAAAAATAAAAATTTTTTATTAAAATTACTATTAAAAGAATAATAAACCTTTTAAGAAAAAAAAGTTACCTTAGGGATAACAGAGCAAAAATTTTTTAGAGATCAAATCAAGAAGATTAAATGCTACCTCGATGTTGAATTAAGAAAACATCTAATAGAAGAAAATTAGATTATAGGTCTGTTCGACCTTTAAATTCTTACATGATTTGAGTTAAGACCGGTGTGAGCCAGGTTGGTTTCTATCTTCATAATAGAGGTTTTTATAGTACGAAAGGACCTAAAAACTTAATTTTATTAATTAATTAGCTTATAAAAAGCAAGTATTTTGAAAATACTAGAAAGATTTAAGAATTTATTAATTTTATGTATAAAAACAATTTTTTAATAAAATGAATATTTTCGTCTAACCATAAAGATATCGGAATTTTATACTCTTTATTTGGATTTTGATCGGGTATATTTGGTTTATCATTAAGTATATTAATCCGATTAAACTTACGAACATCCTTTAAACTATTTATTAGAAATGACCAATTTTATAATTCGGTAGTAACAGCCCATGCATTCGTAATGATTTTTTTTACAGTTATACCAATTATAATTGGTGGGTTTGGTAATTGATTAGTACCTTTAATATTAGGAGCACCAGATATAGCATTTCCTCGACTTAATAACATAAGATTTTGACTTCTTCCACCCTCTTTAACATTGTTAATTATAGGTTCATCAAAAGATGGTGCAGGAACAGGATGAACAGTTTACCCACCTTTGTCAACTTTTTATCACTCTGGACCATCAGTAGATTTAACTATTTTTTCCCTTCATTTAGCAGGTATTTCTTCAATTCTAGGAGCCTTAAATTTTATTACAACGATTTTAAATTTAAAGATCAAAAAATTAACAACGGAAAAGATAACTTTATTTGTTTGATCAGTTATTTTAACAGCTATTTTATTATTATTGTCGTTACCAGTTTTAGCAGGAGCTATTACAATATTATTAACAGACCGAAACTTAAATACATCCTTCTTTGATCCGAGAGGAGGTGGGGACCCAGTTTTATACCAGCACTTGTTTTGATTTTTTGGGCACCCAGAAGTTTATATTTTAATCTTGCCTGGTTTTGGTTTAATCTCCCATATTATTACACAAGAAAGGAATAAAAAAAGAACATTTGGATTAATAGGAATAATTTACGCTATAATGGCTATTGGATTTTTAGGATTTATTGTTTGAGCTCATCATATATTCACAATTGGAATAGATGTAGATACACGAGCCTACTTTACTTCAGCAACCATAATTATCGCTGTTCCTACGGGAATTAAAATTTTTAGATGATTAGCTACATTTTCAGGTGCGAAAATCAATATAAAAGTATCAACCTTATGAAGAATAGGATTTGTATTTCTCTTCACTTTGGGGGGGCTTACAGGGGTTATACTTTCTAATTCTTCTATTGATATTGTTCTTCATGATACTTATTATGTAGTAGCACATTTTCATTATGTATTATCCATAGGTGCTATTTTTGCTATTTTCGCAGGAACAGTACATTGATATCCTTTATTTACAGGATTAACAATAAAAAAAAAATTGCTGAAAATTCATTTTTTTTTAATATTTATTGGTGTTAACCTAACATTTTTCCCTCAACATTTTATGGGATTAAGAGGAATACCTCGACGTTATTCTGATTATCCATTTATGTTTGAATCATGAAATAAAATCTCAAGATTTGGATCAATTATCAGATTGATAGCAACAATTTTATTTATTTTTATTCTTTGGGAAAGAATAGCTTCTCAACGAATCGTTGTTATGCTAAATAAAAATAATTGATCTATTGAATGAAATAAATCAGCACCAACTAAGGAACACTGTTTTGAAGAAAATCCAAAGATTTTTAACTTTTAATTTTAATTATTATAAATTTAGTTTTAACTATATTTACATTAAGAATAATTTTAATTATAATTATATCCACTTTTTCTAAAAAAAGAAAAAATTGACGGGAAAAGATAATTCCATTTGAATGTGGGTTTAATTTTTTCAATTCAGCACAAATACCATTTTCAATTCGATTTTTTTTAATCGCAATCTTATTCATTATTTTTGACGTTGAAATTGCTTTAATTTTACCATTGTTAACAACATTTTTTTCAACTAGCCTAAAAATGTGAATTTTTTCATCATTTGCGTTAATATTAATCATTTTAATAGGAACTTTAATTGAATGAAAAGAAAATTCATTTGAATGAAAAAAATAACTTGTGTAGTAAAAAAAATACATTGATATTAAAAATCAAAAATAAAGTTTATCTTTTTCAAGTAATAATAAATATAATAAAATTATCAATATATGATATTTTTTACAATTGTAATACTAGAACTAGAATAGTAATAGAACAGTTTCATGATTATACTATGATATTTCTAACTATAATTATTACTTTTATTTTAATCATTTTTGTACGAATCTCAACATGTAAATTTACGAATTATAACTTTAAGGATAGCATAAATTTAGAAATTATTTGAACTATTTTACCAATAGTAATTTTAATTTTTATTGCTTATCCTTCTTTATTTTATCTTTATTTATTTGATTTATCAATCAATCCAACAGTTTTAACAAAAGTTTTTGGGGCTCAATGATATTGAATTTATGAAAACTTTGATAATGTTGAAGGTAATTCTTATAGCTCTTATCCTTTATCAGATCTGGATTTACTAAAGAGAAAGAAGTATATAATAGGATGACGTTTGTTAGAAACTGATACTCGTATGATTCTTCCGTATTTAACAGAAATCCAATGTTTAACAACGTCTTTAGATGTAATTCATTCATTTTCAATTCCAGGTTTAGGCATCAAAATTGATGCTATCCCTGGACGTTTAAACTCAGTTAATTTCCAGATTAATCATCCGGGAACTTACTATGGACAATGTGCGGAAATTTGTGGAACAGGTCATTCTTTTATACCAATTTGTGTAGAGGCCATTTAAGAAAAAGTAATTAAAAATAATATTTCTTTGTCAAAGATAAATTGCTTAATAAATTAAGCCTTTTTCTAATAAGAAAGCATTTAAATGCATTTAGTTTCGACCTAGAAGAAGTAAACATTACTCTTATTATGTATCTATTGTAAAGAGCAAGATTATTTTCCAAATAATAAGTTGGTTAAACCAGTTACATTCTATAATAAGTTAATTAAACTATTGAATTTTTACTTCAATTATATCAATAGATTTATAGATAGATGCAATCAAAAATATAACAATAAAAATTCTTACACCATTTCATCTTGTTTCACCGAGACCTTGACCA